ATATTTAAAAGAGAACTCAAACAGCGCCTCAACTCAACAAAGGACCATTTTTTTCACAAAATCGATAAACTGTCATCTAGAGTAAACGGTTGGAGGGATCTTCCTGAAAATTTGGTAACTTATGTAATTGAGTGTGCTCTATCTTTTTTATATAAACACCAAAGGAGGTTTATGTGGAAGAAACTGTTCAAGCAATGAGTCGGACTTTTGTCATTTTGATTAGCTGTGTTTGGGAATCCATAAAATCCCAAAAAGAAAAGCTTTGTGGAATCTCTCAAAAGCCATTTTGTAAAGAAATAGTGGACCATTTTGATGAAACAAAACGTGTATTTAAAGAAGGTTTTATGGGTGCAAAAAAGTTTCTTTAAATTTCGGCGCTGACTCATTCTCCCCAACCCAATACTTCTAACTTTTTCAAACGACGCATCGCTTTTCTTCTTGTCAAACGAATCCTAAAACATAAGTGTTTTCGAAAATCGATTAAACTTTTAATTGCACTGCTTTACGACCAATATTGAGACAGTTTTCTCAGAAAAAGACACTGAAATTCCCCCCAAAACATAAGCTTTTGAACAGCTTTTGATACAAAATTTGGTCCAACTAGAATTCCCTTGTTTATCTTAAATTCAGTTTTTTTTTGCTTCATAAAATTGCACTTATTGTCTTTCTTTGCTTTCCTTTGCTTTCGGCTCCATTTTTTTTATATTCCATTTATTTATCGATAAGTGTGTGGGCGAAAGTTTTGACTGCACTAAAGTTTGACGCAGTTTTGACGCACTTTTGACGCCTCCACTTCCTTCTTTTCATCTCAAAAATGAGCACTTCTTCAGCCAGAAGCCTCATCTCTGTAGCGAGAGTTGTATGATTTGGGATTTCGTCTTAAATTAAATGTTTACCATTGATGAAATGTTTACTGTGCTCATTTTTCTAACCTTTACGATTCATTCTTTAAGTGAATTGTAATTGTATTGTAAAAGTGAATTGTATTATGCGGTTATCAAATTTCCATTCGTTTTTGATCTCTGATTGCCCCTCTGCCATTGGCATTCTAACTTTGAGCTCAAATTCCTTGGTGTTCGGCTGTTCAATTTAAATGTTTTTAATATCATTAGATGCACCAAGTCTTTCTCTGTCGATTGGTAAAAAAAACTATTTCAATTGGACACCCAAACACCAAGAAATTTGAGCTCAAAGTTAGATTGCCAATGGCAAAGACTCAGTCGCATATAAAGGTCTTTCTGGACGCGCCCCTTTCGCCAGTCAACTTTGAGCTCAAATATCTTGGTGTTGAGCCGTCCAATTTAAATAGTTTTTGTACCAATCGGCAGAGAAAGACTTGACGCATGAGCTCAAAGTTAGATTGACAAAAGAGGCGGGACCAGAAAGACCTTTTATACGCGACCGGTCCCCTTTGCCATTGGCATTCTAACTTTGAGCTCAAATTTCTTGGTGTTGGATTATCCAGTTTAAACATTCTTGGTATCATTAAATGCGCCAAGTCTTTCTCTGTCGATTGGTACAAAAACTGTTTAAATTGGACAGCTCAAAGCCGAGATATTTGAGCTCAAAGTTAGATTGTCAATGGCGAAGGGGTGAGAATATCAAATCTCCCACAATTTGGGAAACTGTTCGGCTTTTGCAGTGACCATTTTTCATAATCAATAGAAAATTGTCAACTTTTTTTTGTTTTTGGAATTCTGAGGAAAATTTGGTTGCTTTACAAGCACACCGCTTTTTTTCCCGATGAGTTATTCTAATCTTTCTTTTCTTACATGGGTGGGGCTCTTTGCCTTCTTTTCACCAAATGCTCGCAATGCAAAGGCGCAATTTTCACTTAAATTCTTCTTCTTCTTCTTCTTCTCCTTCTTCTTCTCCTTCTTCTTCTTCTTCTCCTTCTTCGTCTTTCCATTCCATTTTCATATCTCTTATCACTTTTTGGATTCATTTTTCTTTTCTTTTTGTTTCTTCTTTGACGTAATGTTGCACCCAAAGAGAGGCGAAGGAATGATTCATTCTCCTTCTCATCGCACTTTACACAAAAATCACACAGAATTTTTGCCATATTCAATGAAATTTTGTCCAGAAATATTGTATCGTTATTGAAATTCGTAATTGAAATTCTAAAACTGTTTACTTGAAGGATTTCTTTGACTTCTTTGCTGCTTTGATACTGGTTCCAGTGAAGATTTTCTTTAGTTTTCTGTTGGGTTTTCTGTTGGGCTTTGAAAAAGGCTATCGGACAATTTTCTAATTGACTATTTGGGTAATTAACTTTTTTTTCACTCTATAAAAGCCTTACAAATCTTGTTAGCCATACCTATGTGCCTAAAGATATGTGCCTTTATTTTACAGGTCACTGTGGGTATGACTGGAGACTGTTTCTTTGTTTCTAAATACTTTTCATAAAAATGGCGTAAAAGCATTTATTCATTGTGAAAAGCGTTTGCAATGATTCACTTTTTTTCACAAATCATTTCAATGCAACATTTCGACGTAAAAGTTTTCATTACTATTGGGCTGGTGAATTGAAAACTGCGGGCTATTGTCATATGTGATTGTTTGAGCACTTTCTTCAAAAGAAAACCCATTTTGGTGTCAATGGAAAAGTTGTAGAGAATCAAAAATCAAGCTTATATCCAAATTTTCAGAACGATTCAAAAACTGGTTTTCAAGAAATGCCAAATTAACGGGGCACAACACAAAACTTGCATTTTAAGCGAAACTACTAAGTGTATCTTTGTGAAAATTTGGCTATAAGCCCTCATTTTTGATTCTCTACAACTTTTCTATTGACACCAAAATGGGTTTCTTTTGAAGAAAGTGCTCAAACTGGGGTCACAATATGACAATAAAAAGGGGCCCCGCAGTTTTCAGTCAATCAAGTGTTATATAGGAAAAATAAAGCCTTAATCTGGCTACATTGATCGGAGTAATGAGCTTGCTGGAGAACAATGTCGATTCGGAAGAAGCAGTCAAAATTGGTTTTGAAAGTTTTTCGATTCAAACCAAAATCCTACTACGAAAAGAAATCCGCAAATTGCCTGTAAAATGGGCAAGAGTCGTCTCAATAATAATGGAAACTATTTGGAATGAATTACTGGTTTTATGTTGGATCAATTTTAGTTCAAAAGTCCGGCCAGGTTTTTCAATTCACCAACCTAATATCGTTTTAAAAACAAATAAAATTTCAAATTTCCCATTTCCACTCAATCTAAATCATCAAAATCATCAAAACCATTTTATTTTTTAAAACTTTCCATTTCATTTCAATCATTTCTATAATAAAAACTTTTAAAAATAAAGATTTCATTTTCGAGCACTGATGGACCTAAGTCACTTTCCACGTTTTGTGAGGAGAAAGTTGCCCAGAAACGCCAAAAACTTCGGAGTTTTTCCTATTTAAACATAAAATATTCAGCAAAGGAGTTTTCGCACAAAATTTAAACGATTTTTCTTCGAAGTTTTCATTTATTTAAAACGATTGTTCGAATGAAAATCAAACCAGTTTTCAAGTTGAACCCTTTTTTTCTTCGACTTTTCTTCCACCAAATCTTCAACAATTCATTGCTCGTTGCTGAATTTTGTTTAAATTTACTACACGTTGTTGGACTTTATTTCACTTTACTTTACGCTATTTTACTTTACTTCACTTTAAAAATCTTCACTTTTCTAGATTTGATAAGTTTTATATCAAAGGCCTGCACCATATAAAGTATCTCAAATTGATGATTTCTTTGAGTGTTTTCTTTTTCCATTCTTATCAAAGATTCCAAGCTTTCTCGTGGGGAAAAGCGCTTTTTGATCTTTTTTTACGGTTACTTCAAACCATGCTAGTTCCGTTTTTATATAATGCTCACCTTTTTCCCTTTTTTTTTTCCAAAAAACACTCATACTTATCTCTGAAATAATTTGCAGGATTAAAACCAACAAAAGGAAATCAGCAAATCCAGTGATGTCTCGATATTGATCCCCATGATTTTTCCATGTCCCCAATCGTCGCAATCCCGCTCCAGTTGAAAACCCTCGTCGTTTTATCGGTGGTGCAGCTTCACATTTATGGTTGCAACGTTCATTTTAAATACTACGCCATGGCGATTGGCTAAAGCTGTGGAGGTCGAGCTGGCTAAAGCTGCACCAAGGCTGACTGGCTAAAACTGCCAAAGACTGACTGGCTAAAGCAAGAATAGTCGACTGGCTAAAGCTCTCAAGGCCGACTTCATTTCGAAAAACTCCAGATCGGCTGGCTAAAAGCAGCCAGGAGCCGACTGGCTAAAACCGTCAAGGCCGACTGGCTAAAGTGGCCATAGCCGATTGGCTAAAGCTGCCGCCAACCGATTGGCTAAAGCTGCCAAGGCTGACTGGCCTAAAAGCAGCCAAGGTCGATTGGCTAAAGCCACCGCTGACCGAAGTTGGCCTAAAAGCTGCCAAGACCAACTGGCTAGAAGCGTGAGCATTCGGAATCATAGAATGGAAGGAAAAGAACCGTCGCAGGAAACCGAAAATTCGCCCAGTGGTGTAGGTAAAGTTGCAATGCGTTTTTCTTGAAAGCCAAGGGTTTTAGGCAAGAACTAAATACAGCATCGGATTCCGGAAATATCCGAAATGTCCCTATGCCAATTTAACCTTAAAATCGGACCATTCCCTTGTTAGTCAACAAGTCAATGGTTTCAATCCCGCTGACTAGATCACCAGGTTCTTTTTTTCCATTGGATGGATCCTTTCTAAATTTAGTGCTTACGGATTGTTCTTGTGCATTGTTTGCAACAAAATTATTCGTGCGAATAAATGCTACAAACCCATCTAATGGAGAACGGGCCGAGTGTTCGTCCCAAATATTCCAAGGATAACTTAGATTGAGGCCAGGTCGAGGCCTGATTACTGGAGATTTTATGGATTAAACTAATTGTAATGAAGCCAATTGTAGATCTGTCATCTTTCAAAAGCCGATTTTCCAGTTATTGTTCGACTCTGTTGTGGATAAATCTCACTCCCAGCCGCCAATGCCTTTCCTTTTATCGATTCACAAGGCGAAAGAAGAGGGTAAGCTTTCCAAGAAGGCTTTGGAAACCTTTAAAAATACACTCATCTGATTATTCCTCTTTTTTTATCCGATAAAGCCTGGGAATTCTTGGTGTCTAGCCAAATTTATGGAGCTTGCCATTGGAGTGCTTTCTCTCGATCTACTTCTCGAATAAATATGGGAAAAGGAGGTGAGGGCAAGGGACTGATTTACTAAAGGGAATTGATTTCCAAATCTCAGCATTTAATTTGTTTCCAATACTAAATAATAGTTGGGATACTCGATCCTCATCGGCACCATATTGGATATCGTAAAGGTGTCTTCCGGACAGTTCTCACCGTTTACATGCCCGGTAGGGTTTCCGTGGCCGTTATGGGACGATTCATCAACGGAATCGGGCGAGAAATTGTTCAGGTATGAGAAATTAGAAATAGATCAATGAAATATTCGTAAAAAGGTTTAAAATTAAGCTGGGCATTCAAGCTAAGCTTTCTTACTATCTAAGTCAGCACAAAAGAAGTCACACACAAAAATAAAGTCAACATTTTGGGAACATTCCATGAAGTAGTTCAACTTTATTATTGATTTCCTCTATGTTCTTACACAGGAATTATACAAGATAGATTGTACTTTACTATAACCAAATTTAATAGGGATCATTTTAAAACTAACCTCTCCTTGATTTCTGATCACTGGGAGTCAGGATATGGGAACAAAATAGGAAAGCTCTCCAAACTCCGAGACTTCTATCCTGGAAGGTCAACTTTGACTCAAAATTTTCTCCATGTTTTTATCGGTAACTCCTACAAAACAAAATTTGACTTTTCTAGAGCCAAATTTAATAGGGATCATTTTAAAAGCCAACCCTCAAGTCGATCTGATTACTGAGGGAGTCGGGATATGGAGTAAAATAGGGGAAAGTTCCCCAAACTCCCGAGGAACTCGTAACAAGGAATTTGGAATGTTCTAATGAATGTTCATGGGGCCAGACCATCATTCAAAAGTTTATTCAGCTACTACAAGCCACAAAACAACAATTATATAATGTTAGATTTGTTATTCTTCTATTAAATAAATTTTTAGACTTCTGATTCTGTGATGCTGGCCGGGTCATTCCGCCATTGAGACGGCGAGGGGCTTTGCTTTAGCCACTTTGGTGAGTGGTTAGAGGGATGAAAAGTTACATAAAATAATCACAATATCTAGAATTTCTCTAGAACCAGAGTTCACTAAAATTTTTAGTTTTAAGTCATCAAATTTCGCTTACACATAGAATGGTGAGGGTACTGCATGGGAGAGCTTGGGGGAATGCTGATCTCGTTGGGAGGAGCTGCTTGGGACGTGAGTTTTGCTTAGGACAAATTTCTGAATACACATCTATTAAATAGCTTTTACAATGTTTAAATCGACATTCTTTAATGCAAATTATAAGCCATTATTAGCCATTATTATCCATTTCGATTTCCAGCTCAAAACACTGGCATATCTCTGATGGGTGTTCCATTGTTACCCCTAATGCCCAACTATCTACATCCTCTACAAAGCTTCCGAATCGCCTTAAGGTTTGTTCAAAAGTATCGAATGAATTTCATTTGAATTTAAGTGAATTTCTTTGAATTTAAAATGAATTCTTTGAATTTAAATGAATTTCTTTCGATTTAAAGACAACTTTTCAGCATCATTAGACTATTCAGAAAGTCAAGAAAGTCTTTTATAATAATGCTTTATTCAAACTGACCAAAGTGAAAGAAATCCTAGAGAAATGCACAGCGATACTTAATCATACAATACGTACTGAAAATCAATAAGCTCAATTGCTTGCGGCAAAGAGCCACTAGATCTAAAGCATCGATACGTTTCTTGAATATGAAAAGCGACTGAATTTCTCGTATATCGTTTGGGAGACAGGTTCCATAATCTAGCGGCTCTAACGGGAAATGAATTTGATAAAGAGGCGATTGGAAGCAAAGGGAATTTACAAAAGGCTTAATATCTTTTCATTTCTTTTTCTTTCGATTTCGATCATGTTAAATCGTTTTCAGAGTCAAGTAAGTTCTAAAATTTGTACTTTTTAATGGTGAAATTTTCTTTTTAAACTTTAACCCGTAACAGATAAAAGCCGTTTTTCAAATCATTCAAGTAATCTAACAATAAGTAAGTGTTCAAAATAGATATTAAGCTTTCTAGAAAACCTTTTTTTCCACGGCTTTTTTGGAAAACCTCTGAAAACACTTCTCTATGATTATGATAGTACTTTTAAAGCAGTAATCAGCTATTTATTAAAGTTTTCCCATAGCTTTCAAAGGCATTTAGGGGTGCTTGCCTTACAAACGTCTTTGACAAATAAATAAAAATACGTATTTCCTAGAATTCTACGAGGGCGTTTTGTAGCTAGATTCGGTTTTGAGATTGGGTTGTAAATTTAAACAGTTCCCTAGCAAGTTTTTCCTTTGTTTGCTTAAGCTTCAAAAGGAGGAATATAACGTGATGAAGGCCAAAGCGTAAAAGTTAAAGATCTTTGGTTAAGAACTATTTTAGCTTGTACCACACTTTACAAGAACAGAAAAACAGAAACACATTTATATCGATACATGGCATTTTTAAAGTTGAATTTTATATCGATATCTGGTGCATTGAAACCTCAATCTTTCTTGAGAACTCTAAAATTGAACTCTCAAACTCTCAACTCCAATGGCTAGACAATTTCGATTCATTTTGTTGTTTGTTTGTTTGTTGGTTCGATCTAGAAATCCGTCCGATCCTAGAAAGCCAGCCGATCTAGAAATCCGTCGATCTAAAAATCCGTCCGATCTGAAATCAAATCCGATCTAGAAAGCCAGCCGATCTAGGAATCCGTCCGATCTAGAAATCCGTCCGATCTTGAAAGCCAGCCGATCTAGAAATCGTCCGATCTAGAAAGCCAGCCGATCTAGAAATCCGTCGATCTAGAAAGCCAGCCGATCTAGAAATCCGTCGATCTGAAATCCGTCCGATCTAGAAAGCCAGCCGATCTAGAAATCCGTCCGATCTAGAAATCCGTCCGATCTAGAAGCCAGCCGATCTAGAAATCCGTCCGATCTAGAAATCCGTCCGATCCTAAAGCCAGCCGATCTAGAAATCCGTCGATCTAGAAATCCGTCGATCTAGAAAGCCGGCCGATCTGAAATCCGTCCGATCTAGAAATCGTCCGATCTGAAAGCCAGCCGATCTAGAAATCCGTCGATCCTAGAAAGCAAGCCGATCTAGAAATCCGTCCGATCTAGAAATCCGTCCGATCTAGAAATCCGTCTCATCTTGAAATCCGTCCGATCTAGAAAGCCATCCGATCTAGAATGATTCAATTTAAGCTATCATTCACCCAATCATTCCTTTTTCTTTTCCTGATCTATCGATATAAATCGATATATCGATATATCGATATTCTCTTTATCTCAATCATCGCACTCTTTTCAGATATCTTTTCATGATCAACCGAAAGCGGACGCGAGGAAAGCGCTCAGCTTCTATCAAAGTCCAGTCGATGCGCGACAAACGATCGATGAGATTTTAGAGGAAATGAAATTGGTAACAAATCAAATCTTCAAATCAACAATCAAATAGCAAATCTTCAAATAATCAGTTTAGGCATTTTAAAATTAAAATTCTAATCTAATTTCTATTCCAGGAAGACGTTGACATCAGATTCGAACACCCCGAAGAAGAAAATAAACTGAGAGCCGAGTGTTTCCAGATTTTCGAGGGAGGTAATTTTAAGAAAGGAAACTTTTCGACTTGTTTTCAACTTGCTTTCTACCTTTTTAACTTTTCTACTTTTTCTACTAATTTCAGGGGATTTCATTTCCAAAAAAATTCATTTCAGCAATTTCATTTTAGTAATTTTTCACTTCCGAAAAGAAGTTCATTTCGGGAATTTTCACATTTTCACAAAATTTTACTAATGCCAACGTTAAGTGCTTTTTCAAAGGCATGTGTTTCAGTGCTCAGTTGAGAAGAGTTAAAAAGCGGGCGAAGCGACCTTTTATTGGTTATTGTTTATTAGTTTATAACGTCTAGAAAATACTCGATCGTTAAATAAAACTAAAAACCGACGAAATACCTGTATTTTCTCTAATAGTACGGTGCACCCTGAATTGCTCGAAATCTCGGGAACCGCTTATCAAGAACCTATCGATGTGGGGTCGGAAAATGTAGCTGACGATGAGATCTAGTGGGGGGATTAGAGTGTTGAGCTTCTTGGAAAAGCTTGGGAACCGTAAAATAGTCACCAACTCGGCTCGCCGAGGTGCACTTCTAATAAGAGAAAATACGGTATGTGAAAAAAGAACAGCAACAAAATCACGTTCTCCGGTTGAGTTCGTGATAAAATCTTGTTTTGTGATCTTTTTGCCTTCTTACTTTTACCAGCTTTGGCATTTTGCATCTTTACCCGCCAACAAGGTCAATATACAAATTTCTCTTTGGTATATTCCCTCTAACATCTTTGATCTTAGTTTTGATATGGTTTTTGAATCGATTTGAGCTAGAGTTAATGAGTAGATATCTAGTAAAACAATTTATACTATTTTTCCCCTTATTTTTACCAAACTAGAGACATACAGCATCCCTAGACGACATTCCTTGACTCCATATTGGCTCACTAAACGTTCCTTCAAGTCACCGTTAGACAAGATTTTCTTTGATGGCATCTAAAGAAAATCATGTATTCCCAACAAGTGTGTCCAAAGTTATGACCCCTTAGAAAGTGGGTGTCTCGGGTAAAAGTAGCTCAAGAAATAAATGAGAATGAAAATATAAGAATCATGAAGGAATAATGAAAAGGGATAAAAACTGTATAAAATAGTCGATTTCGGTAGAAAAAGCTCGCCTTATTAGCAAAAAGGACGAACAGATTATAATTTAACGCGCGAGGTGTGTCCAAAGTTATGACCCCTACTGCACCAGGGGAAATTTACATTTATGCTGCTTGGTTGGCAAAGATGCAGAAGTACTCTGGAATTTATCTATTTCAGTATGCCCATGTATTTGTGGGTTTCAGGTCGGATTGACCGGAAACTCCAAATTTCTTCGGTCTGGTGGTGTTAGGGCAGATCGACCGGAAACTCAAATTTTGGAGTCAGGTCAGGGCTTGGATGGGTAGGACCAGGAAACTCATATTTCTTGGGTCTGGTCAGGGGCGGATCAGCCACGGAAACTTCAAATTTTTGGAGTCAGGTCAGGGCAGACAAAATGGAAACTCCAATTTCTTGGGTCTGGTTGGGACGGATCGGCCGGAAGCTCAAATTTTGGAGTCTGGTCAGGGCAGATCAACCGGAAACTCAAATTTCTTGGGTCTGGTCGGGGCAGATCAACCGGAAACTCAAATTTTTGGAGTCTGGTCAGGGCAAATCAACCGGAAACCCAAATTTCTTGGGTCTGGCCAGGTTAGATCGACCCGAAACGACCCGATTGCCCATGTCTAATGCCAATGTGTTTTTTTAATTAAAAAGATGAAAAATCGTTTGAAATGAACGAAAAGCGTCAAGAAAATCGCGCAAAAGAAGCGGCGTACAACGCGGACAAAAACACTGTTAAAATGGCCGAAATGAACGTTTCTCGAGATGAAATTCTTGAAATAGGAAATTGCTGAAAAATGTTTTTCCCGAGACGAAATTCCTGAAATTAATCGTAAAGCCGTTTTTAGATTTAAAAACTTGATTTAAGATTTACATTTAAAAGAAGATTTAACATTTAAAGCATTTAAACATTTTAAACCAATGTTTTAGTGAAACCAGCTCATTTTAAACCATTTTAAACCATTTTAAACCATTTTAAACCATTTTAAACCATTTTAAACCATTTTAAACCATTTTAAACCATTTTAAACCATTTTAAACCATTTTAAACCATTTTAAACCATTTTAAACCATTTTAAACCAATGTTTTAGCCAAACCAGCTCATTTTAAACCATTTTAAACCATTTTAAACCAATGTTTGAGTCAAACCAGCTCTTTTAGACTAAAGACGGCTATTTCTCGCGTCCACTGCTGATCGCTTTGTTTGTGCAATCGTTTGTTCATTTAGATGATTGGGTATTGTTTATCGTTTGAGATATTCAAAAAAAAATTCCTCATTTTAAGCAATAATTACTGGATTTTATTCGATTTTCAGCTATGGATCTCCTATTCGACTCAGATTTTCGAAAACGTCGGCCTCTCGGCGAATCGAGCACAACGGGCTTCGTTGCTGATGTCTTTGCCACAGGTTGGGGGAAATAAAAAGCTTAAAAAGGAGTTTATCGAAAAGCTTTGATACTCCAAACTTGGACCTTGGATTTAAAACTTTAATTAAAATTTGAGTTGTCCAGGGTTGTCACCGACTTTGTAATAAAAATTTAAGCTCGACGATCGACCAAAGAGTCCGCAAAGAATCGAAAAGATCACCTTGTAATGATCGAAGATCATCGAAAGCTATAAAATATAAAACCATCATGAGATCTGACTTTAGGCAGTGATTTCGATAGCGCTTCTCGGATGTTTCGACAATTTTTCCCGAAGAGCTCTCTTGATTTTGCCGACAATTGGAAGTGTGTTGATCGGGTTGATGGCGATTCTGTTCACAACGTTTGAAAAGGTAGGCATCTTTGTCAAAGTCACCAGCTCATGAAAAATCATCCAGCTCACCCACAAAAGTCACTCTGCACCTGACAGAAGTCAGCTTGACTTACAGAAGTCAGTCTGACTTACAGAAGTTATTAGGGAACGGCACCAGTTATTAGGAACGGCACCAGTTATTAGGAACGGCACCAGATGCTCATAACTCACCAGATGCTCGTTCGAAGCGAGACTAAACCTATCTTATAGAGTCGACTACGCTGATTCTGAATCGGTTTTTAGTTTTCGTCTGTAACACACGAGAATCAGGGAACTAGCTTTGAATTTATTACGGTCGAACTCCGGTACAACGAACTGCAAGAAATCGGTAGAAGAGTTCGAGTTTGAAGAAAGAGTTATATCCAAAGTTTATTGTATAAAAACAAATAACCATTGGCTTTTGACAAAGATTTTGTTGGCGAGAGTCCTTTTGCCAATCCAACTTTGAGCTCAAATATCTTGGTGTTGAGCCGTCCAATTGCAATAGTTTTTGTACCAATCGACAGAGAAAGACTTGGCGCACCTACTCATATGATTAGAGCGTTTATTGTTGTATTAAGTTCAAAAACTAGCACCCCAGATTCTCTCCTTACAGGCGTCGAGGGCAAAAACTAAAAACGGATTCGAAACAGAGCGTAGTCGATTCTATAAGCTGGGTTTAATCTCGTTCAGAAAGGAACCTGGGAGGTGACCACCTGGTAGGATCAACCAGATATCTGAACTAAGATATGCATGGCTTAGTCTTTAACCCGAGCTAGCAATCTGGAAGGATCATTGAGCTATACGGAGCTATCGTGCGTTTTCATATCTAGTTGATCCGAGCTTAAAGCATCCGGTTACAAGACGGCGACTTTGAAACAGTGATATGATGAAAGAGGTGAGCTAAGTGATGCACAACAACTGAGTGGATGTTATGGGTACCTGGTGCCGTTCCCTAGTTAAAATCTGCCGGAAAATCTCTGATACATAACTGATCGATTCACCTAATTAACTAACTAATTAACTAACTAATTAATTAACTAATTAATTAACAGATTAGCCACCTAAATGGTACCTATAAAATATTTCATTATTCAAACTTTCAGGTGCTTCTTCGTGGCATTCCGATAGCCGTTGTTCTGCCCGTTTTAGCGGCTTTTGATCTTTCGGCTGCTGCCATCTCTGGAGAAAGCGCTTTTGCCATCGTTCCCCGAGCTGTTTTACAAAATGACAAGATTCTTGGCACGGCTATTGTTGGAATTGCACAGGTTTGAACTTGGTGTTAAAAAGACATTCATTCACATGAATAATGTGGTACAAACAATACATAAGTATGACCTCAAGCTCTAAAAGTAAGGGAAGAAACGATCCATATACATATGGGAAATATGTATATGGGAAATATGTATATGGGAAACATGTATATGGGAAAAAGAACCAATAATCTAGTCATCGGAATTGAATTCTTGATCTCCTGAATAAGATGCACGGCTCTTAGCTAGTCGACGGCATGACGACAAAGGGAATGGTGAAGATTAAGCCCAATTTCATTTTAGAATGTATTCGGCGGAATTCTCACGAACTTTCTGCTCCACCGCAGTGAATCATTTGGGCACAGAGAACGTGTTGGTTCCATTTGTGATGATGAATGCTCTCTATGTGTTCATCAATTATTACCATCTACCGGAAACAGCTGAGAAAACACCACAGGTTTGTGAAAGTTTTCGAATTTTCACAAGAGTTTGGGCATATTCTTTTGTGACATATTGATTGGAGATTGTGGGAATTTGATACGAGCCCGCTCCCTTTGCCATTGGCAATCTTTGAGCTCAAATTTCTTGGTGTTGAGCCGTCCAATTTAAATAGTTTTTGTATCAATCGACAGAGAAAAGACTTGGCGCATCAAATGATATTAAGAAGATTGGGATTGGACGGTCAAACACTAAGAAATTTGAGCTCAAATAGGTTGCCAATGGCAAGAAGGCTGAGCGCGTATAAAAGTATTTCTGGACGCGCCCCTTTTGCCAGTTCAGCTTTGAGCTCAAATATCTCGGCTTTGAGCTGTCAGTAGCAATAGTTTTTGTACCAATCGACAGGAGAAAGACTTGGCGCATCTAAGAATATTAAGAAGATTAAAGTTGGACAGCTCAAAGCCGAGATATTTGAGCTCAAAGTTGGATTGCCAATGGCAAGGGGCGGGGCACGAAGAAAACACGATTATTGTTGAAATTGAAAAAAACAATCCGATTTTTCAGGAAGTTGCCCTGCACTTTTCCCCCAATCCTCCATTCGAGTCATCAATCGCTTGGCTTTCTCGGAAATACCATGAAATCTCCCTTTCGATCATTCCTGCAAAGCTTTTCTCCCTCTCCACTCTGATCCAGTTGCTAATTTTCATCACTCAAGTCATTTCTGTGTACTTTTCCTCAATTTTTCGTTTAATTTGGGTCTCCAATTGTTGGTTTAGCGGCACAAAGTCTCGGGAAATAGAAAAGGGTTTTGGAGTTTGAGTTTGGGTTTAAAATGGAAACCTACCGCATTAAATTCTCCCAGAAATTCTTTCTCTGCAAAGACAATTTTCTCGCATCACTAGCATCTTTAAAGAGTATTTGGAGAATTTGACTGCACCAGAGAGTGCGTTTACACAATAAAAGTACAAAGTACACCGGAAACCGTTCTTCACGTGTACTTTGTGCTCTAAACGATAATAAAAGCACCCTATCTGGTGTACCGAAATCTCAATTTTCCTTTTGAAAGTGAAAAACAGGATTTCATCGTGCCAGAAAGGTTTGTTTCCATTTTCTTTAACTCAAAGAAGATTTTGAGTTCAAATTTCTGATAGATTTTCTATGAAACTTTTGGTTTTATATCTTTGAGATTTCGCCTACAGTACTGGACAATGAAATATGATATTTGAAAAACGATCGTCACTTTCGCGTGTCTGTAGCTCCCTTCGCGTCTGTAGCTCGTCTGTAGCTCCTTAAATCCTGTTGTCCTGATTTTGACCCAATCTAGGCTCTCTGAAGTGCGGCGCTATAACCCCTAACGGGCAACCCTGCACTTTGCAATACGTAACAACGAGCTAAAGGATGGCTTGAGCTACACTACTGGACAATGAAATATTTGAAAAACGATCATCACTTTCGCGTGTCTGTAACTCGCTTCTCTTTACCGTATTTCTAAATATTAATATTACCATTGTGTAGCCCTTGAAAGGAGCTTTCCAGAAAATGTATAACACTAATAGTTTAAACTCCAAAAGACAAGGGAGTTATAGACGCGAAAGTGACGATCGTTTTTAAATATTATATTTCATTGTCTAGTACTTTATATTGCTGAAAACATCACCGGTTTTCCTTTTTTTGCAACAAGTTCTTTTAGAAAGCAACAATCTACAAAGGATCTATAAAAACAAAACTCTTTCTTACCATGATTAAAGACAGAAACAAAAGGAAATCGAGCAGGGATGGGGATGAATGTCTTGGTTTTGTTTGGTTGCCGAAAGGGTTTCCCCTCTAATAGCTAGGTGCTAGAATAATGGAGAAGGAAAGCTTTTAGTGAAGAAAGAAAGAGAAAAGAAGAGAAAAGGAAAGGAAAATGAATTGTCGAGGAGAAGAGAAGAGATTAAAGAGTCCAGTAACTAGGGAAAGACACCAGGTCAAGGTGGCCTTTTAATACGAGAGCCAGTTAATAGAATCGGCTGATTCTAAATAGGCTTTTCCTTTTTCCAACAGACTTTGTAACGCGAGATATCTGGCATCAAAGATAAGGGGGTTACAGACGCGTGAAAGTGACGATCGTTTTCCAATATCATATTTCATTGTCCAGTACTGTATTTCGTTTTTCAAAAAACTTTCAAATTCTCGATAAAGTGCCGACTTTTTTGCCTTATTTTCTTTATCTTTTGCATGTTTTTGTATTGAGATTTTTTTGTGAATCGACATAACCCTGTGATTTTTTCATTATCACTTTTTTATTATCACACAAGCATATTATCCCTTTTGCCTTTTATTTCCAAATGAATCGGGTACCCGAATTGTGTGTCTTTTGATGAGAAAAATTTCATTTCATAATTGGAAGAGCTTTAAAAATAAATATGAAAAGTAAAATTCTGAAAATCGAAAGAAAATCGAAAGAAAATCTGAATCTGAATAAACGCAATATTAACCAGAAGAATTGTGTGTCCAGAAGCTATAAATGCTATAAATGTTTTCAATTGTGTCCATATTAACCAGAGACAAGTCAATCTTTTCTCTCAAAGCTTCAAGCTGCTTTTTAGTGGTTTTCATTTCGGAAGTGACTTTTAAAGATCAGCGGTAATATTGACAAACATTTTCTTTGGACATTGAAGAGGTTTATAGACTTTTCTTAGGGATTAATCGCTCTACAATTCTCTTGAGAGCCATTTTGCGAGGGAGAAAATGAGACCTACCAGTCGTTCGACCATGTCTGGATCGATTCAGACATGGTTGATTCTAAATTTTTTCTGATTCTAAGATTCGAAATCTTAGTTAACTGGACCGGGAAGACTTGGGCTCAATTGACAACAATCGAGCAGCTAGATACGTCTTCTATATAAAAAATTTCACAACTTCCAGCTTTCCAAATGTTGAGTAGGATATAGTATAGCTTACTAGAAACACTGGTAGCTCAAAACAAATGCTATTAGGTTGATGCATAAGTCTTTTTGTTCCTTTTCGTCTGCCGTTTCAAGGTAACAAATGCCATGAATTAAACTACGGTGGGTTGGATTAGAAAAAGCAAGTATTTTTCTGCAAAATAACATTAAAACGGGTTTAAAAATGTTGGGTACCTGGATTTTCTTTTGAGAGTATGGAAGTCGGGTAGTCAAAAGGGCTCAACTCGATGATGCGGTTTAGACACCTTAGCTAAAGAAAACCTATCTTCGTGTCAATAGATAAAGATAGAGAGAAAAAGCCGTTTGATATTTCGCCCAAAATTTCAGAGGGATTTCATTCCAGCCAATTTTTCCGTAGAGTTTTTATAGATTTTTACGAAAAAGGCGTTTTCACTCTCGAATTTGCTTGAAAGTCAACCGAAATGCATTTAAAAAGGTGCAAATTGAACAAAAAACACTTTTTTATAGAGCAAACTATAGATTAATTCGTGAATTTGTTACTTTTTAACAGAAGTACGAAAAAGCGAAAGGACTTATGCATCAACCTGTTATAGTAATGCTTTCAATCCGTACGATAATTAGGATCAGTTAAGAAATACACCCCAGGAGTTTCTTAAAATTCAATTTTTAGGAAGTATAGAAAGGGATTCTAAATATGATATCATTCAAGGTAAAGATCATTTCTACCAAACCTATACGTCTGGCATGATGTTATGGTCGTCAAGAGCTATGTTTAGTAGGATATGTTTAGTAGATGTTCCTGATCAGTCAAGTTGCATTAATTCTTTACCGATCTTTTGATGAGATTTTTACACCTGGGAAACACGTTTGCCGAGTGGAAGGCCTCATCAGCACTATCTATTTCTAAGATATTACTTCGCTTGATCTCATTGTGTTATGACGTCATTTTTGTCCCCATTAATTCCAAATCCCATCAATTGTATTATCACGACACAAAATTCATTCAAAATTTATCAATACTTTATCACAAGACAAAATTCATGGCTCAATTAGTTGTAGATGGAGACGCACTCCCAAGAATCAGGAAGGGTCACCGCATACATACTCGTAGCGCATGCCATATGCACATTTTTGACCTTTTGGATAATCCTAGAGATTTGTTTGGTAATTTACTCAGCTCTTTGTTTACTAAAAGGTGGCTTAGAAAAAGCTACTCCGAGCTCTGGATCGTACCTTTCTATCGTTGATCAAACGAGGTTTGACTTTTAGGAAATGAATTCATCTAAAAGACAAACCTTTGGATATTTGGCTTTCAGATCTTGGGGATATTTATTATGCTGAAATGTGATTCTTCATACTCCAATTAGCCTATTAAATATAATTAGCCGCTCTCCAGATGCACATCTTTTACCTTCGGGATAACCCCTACCATACTCTGGATCGTACTTTTCTCTCGTTGATCAAACGAGCTTTGACTTTTAGGAAATGGATTCATCCTAAAAGACAAACCTTGGGATAGTTGGCTTTGAGATCTTGGAGGTTGTCCGGGATAAACTTGATATCGGGATAACCCTAGAGATTTGTTTGGTAATTTACTCAGCTCGTCGTTTAGTAAAGAGGTGTTCTAGAAAACGCTACCACCGTACTCTGGATTGTGCTTTTTTTCTCGTCGATCAAACTATAAGTTTTGACTTTTAGGAAATGAATCTATCGAAAAGACAAACCTTGGGATAGTTGGCTTTCAGCTCTTGGGGATATTTGGCATACTGAAATGTGATTCTTCATATAATTAGCCGATTAAATACTGAATTAGGATATCACTATTCTTTCAGCTAAAATATTCAATCTTGAAGTCTAAATTTTCCTTCTAGCACACTCAAGTCTTTATTTTCCAAAGCTTTACTTCAATTTACTTGAATTTTATATCTTTAAACACTCACATGAGCAATCGAACAAAGCCAAGAATGCGAGAAAGGGAAAAGAAGGACAGAGAGCTTCATGTTTTGAAAAAAAAGGGGGGAAGATTTGGCTATTTGTGGATCTTTTATATTGATACAATACGGGTGGTGGGGTTGGAATTAATGAATTCAGAAATAATATCACAACACAATGACATCGATGTAGTCATCCTAAAAATAGATAGTGTTGATGAGATTCTACACTGGGAATTGAGGCTTCAAAGCTGCTTCGCGTACATTTTGTCCAATGATACGAAAAAAGATCTGTAAGGAATTAGGGGAAACGAGAACTGATCAAGAACACCTACTAAAAACATAACCTACTAAACTTAGCACTTGATGACCTCCTATGGCATCATGTAGATGTATAGGTTTAGAAATAATTTGCCTTGAATAGTATCATATGAGACTTCTTTTCTCTACTAATCTAAAATGGAGAGATTTCCAGCAACTTCTGGGATTGTATTTAATGATCCTCGTGATCTGTTTGGATTGAGAAGTATTCATAGCATTTATTTTGAAGCTACCAGTGTTTCTAGCTAATAACTATGTAGATCCTACTAAACAACTAATGACATTCATGAAATCAACTTAAAAATCTCGATAGTTTTGTTGAGATTCTACACTGGGAAACGTGTTTTTGGGGAGTTTAAAAACTGCTTCGTATCGTCCAATGATACGAAAAAAGATCTGTAAGGAATTAATGAAACTTGACGATCCACAGAACATCATGTAGTTGGATATTTTTACAGAAATGTTTTTGCCTTGAATGATATCATATGAACTTGGATTGACGGACTGAAAATTTGGGCCGGTCAAGAGTCTTCTTAATAGCCTCTCGAGTTCTTCGAAGAGATTTTTATGAGAACTTAGTATTATGACAGGTGAAACAGTGAAGTCGAGAATCTGCCAGGCTACAGGGTGCAGCAAAGGTGTGAAACGAATGCTTATTGATGAACTAAAAGAAGAGAATGAAGAGAGTGCTAGTTCTGTTCTAATAGAAAATCCCACACTTTTTCAAAATAACTCTAATAAAAGTTCACGGCATATTCTTTATTGTCGTTAGCATCAGTGTTGCCTATGCGGGTCAAGACAGAGCCTAGTTTCTGTTGAATCGGTGCCATTTTTGTCCCCTTCAGCTATGTCGTAAATATACTCTAGAAATGAATGTTTGCTAATAGCTGATGATCAGCCATTTTCACACTTCCGGGGATCTGCTTGGCTCGATCAACCTGAAAAGTTGTCCCATATGCGAAACGAGATGGCACTCCAGTAGTAATGATCAAATAAAGAGTACTCAAATAGAAGGAATTCGACACCAGAAGATATCTCCGAGTTTTTCCGAGGATCCAGTTTTCCCTGAGCCAGGCGCCTTATTGTGGCTAAGCTAGTATAGCTTTGAACGAGTTTTTCTCGACACTGGTTTATGCTACAATGCTCGTTTAAATATCAAAAAATAGCTGAAATTCAGGGCTATTTTTTGATACCGCTTCTGATTTTTTGAAAGTACGGGTGCTTTGAAAAAAATGAAACAATGAAAATCTTGCGACTACGCGACTGTACGAGGGGGTGAGGTACTGTTACA